AGGGGAAGGACGAAGGCCACATGTAAAACCTGATGTTTTGTGTTTCCTCTTCGCCGGCTCTTTGAGTATGACCAATCGGAGAGGGGCAGAGCTTAAGTGACCAAACAATCCTCCAAAGGCCTCCCACTCCCACCCCACCCCACCCTACTTGGCTACAATTTTATTAATTAAACGTGATCTTCCTTGCTGGATGTCCATGTGATGAACGTGATCCATATCGTCCGTTTAAAAATGATGAAAATTATTTAACAAAAAAAAATGATGAAAATTAGAAATAAGGTAATAATAAAAAAATTAGATGAATTTTTTTTTCTTAATTGTACAATGAAAAAAAAATCATCTTTCATCTCTTATCCTTTTTCACTTACATTACATGTCATACGATTTAAATTTAAAATTTTTTATTTAAAAAAAAATCACTGAATTATTTAAATTATTAATATTAAATGAGGATTTTTATTCCTCATCATAATATTCATTTTAAGTAGATGATGATCATAGAAGTTGTTATATGCGTTGGTAAGTAAGGTTATATTTGGTTTGAGGAAATTGTATGTAGAGGAGGGAAAATTGTTATTTTAATTAAATTAAAATTTTAACTTAAATTTCATTTGATATGGTTGTAATTTTGAATTTTTAGTTTTTAAATTTCAAATAATTAAAATTAATAATTAAAAAATAAAAATAAATATTATTAACTTATTGTGTATAAAATTTTAAAACAAATATATAAAATTTTAAACTTAATTAATCTATAAAACTACTTAATTTTAGTGTAGGTTTCTAAAATTTTAAAAATAAAAACAAAAAATTTAAAACCACGATTATACAAATAGAGTCTCAACATCTTAATTTAATTGGATTAAAATTTTTTCCTTTACTTATGCGCTTCTCATACCAAATATACATTGAGGTTATGTTTGGTCAGTAATAATGACTATTTATTAATCAAACTATAAAAATAAAAGAAACTTTTTTAGAGGATTAAAATTAACTAAGCGTTAATATTAATAATTTTCTATTAAACTTTGGGATGAATGATAAATATGTATTTATTTAATTTTTTTCGTAAAAAATATATATTTCTGTACTATACGTAAAAAAAAATTAGATATTAAAACTTATCTCATTCTTAACTTTGTAGGAAAGTCTTTCAATTAAATTTGTTTCCATATTTTAGTTAAAAAATAACCATTTTTACCAACCGAATATAACCTTAAGGTTTAATTGAATTTATCTATAATAAATAAATACTGCTTTGTAAATCACGCCTAAAATTCAGATCTTAAGAGCTATTGTAGTACTTATGCAAATATAAAGTTTTTTTTATATATAAATACAATAATTTTGTTGTGGGTGATGTAATCCTAAAATCAACTTCAAAAAAATTATTATCAAAGCACAAATAAATTGACACCAACAAAGGCTTTAGTACTCATTATAACTTAAAAAATTTTAATTTAACAGCAGCCAATAAATAACAAGGTTGTGCAAAAGCTAATACTGTCTCTTGAAACTCTCCAAAGGATCATGGTCAACTAATATTCGTCTGCTTACCCAAAAAAACAACTAATCTTCTTCTTATTAATACGTAAATTTCTGATAATCCCCTCAAAAACCCTTCTTAAATATCATACCCTTCTCTTCTTTGTTAAATCCCCATTTCTTTTTTCACCTTATACTCTTAAAATCTCTTGTTCTCAATCTCCGTTCTGATCATGGCCAATTTGGTTGTTTCCCAGGTAATATTTTCTCTCGTTCTTGAGTTCTGAGTTCTCTGTTTGGTTATCAAGAAAACCCAGAAACCAAAATGAAGTTTTTATGACGAAAGTAAACAAATTTTAATTTTCCAGTACCTTTCTCCCTAGCTGTTCCTGGGTTTTAACAAATTTTGGATTTTTTTTTTGTTTTTGTTTAGTTTCAGGTTTCTGTTGCTGTTCCTGTTGGGCGCGATACATCGGTCAGGAGATCTGTATTTAAGGTGGGTGGTGTTCGGGTGATTATGATCTTTGTATAATGTATTGTTTGGTTATTGTTTTGATTGGAATTACTTTCTGTGTTATGGATTTGAAGAAGTTCAAATTTTGTGACTAAAATGATATCGGCTACAGTTTTGATGATTGTGCTGTCTGCATTGAGTGCATTACATGTACTGTTCACTTGTAACCAAGACCCATCCTATATTATATGATTGACCCGTTTTTGTATCCTTCATGTCTCGTGTTTTATGTTATGAGTGTTGACATTTTCTGAATCAAAACTGATAACTTGCATTTGATTGTTGGAGTGTGTGTTTTTTTCAAATTATTGATAGAGATGCTGAAGAGGACGATCATATTCCTTGCAATAACGATTCAGTATATTGCCAAATCCAGTTAGCATTTCCCCACTTTTGTGATTATGGCTTTTTTAAAGCCACCAGCAATGCCTATTATGCTGCTTTTATTCCTTCAAAATTGATTTTGTAGGAACCAATAATTGTGAAAGTACTCTCAAAATTAATTAAGACCTTTGTTTATGCATAAAATTTTCAGTATGGAGGCTGCGCTCTTGGTTTTTTGGCTTTTGTTTATTCCTTTTGATTACCTAATTACCAACAACATTTCTTGTCAGACTGTACTGTTTCATTTTTCTCAATGTGTTTGATCAGAGAATGGCAGACTAAATAAAATCTAATTCACTTTTTTGATTTTTGTACTTCATTCCTTTTAAATTAGTTGTTCATTAGACATGCACATATCAGTATTTTCTAATAATCAAAGTTCCTGACAGTAAGAGAGAATGTAGCTAAAGATCTATTCTAATAGTGATGGATAAAATCTGGTTTACCAGCTCTGTCTCTGAAGGTGGTTTACTGATATCAGATTGCTAAACCTGATTTCTGAGATGACTTTTGTTATTGATATCTTTGTGGTTTCTTTTTACTAAATTAATCTAGCTACAGAACACCTGTGCATCTACATCTCTCTATGTTTGTGAATATATGGTTGAGAATTGAGTGTGTTTATTGAATGCGGCATATCTTGGTTGCTTGTTGATGTTCCAGGCATTGATATTTGGTTCTGTACCTCCAATTTGTTCATTTGGCTGTTCTTATTATTGCTGCAATGCTGCATTACTGGACTAAAAATTTCTATTGGATTTGGTTAATAATATTGCTAACCTCCTACACGGTGCTTGATTTGCAGACAAACAATTTAAGCTTTGGGGACAGATCATGGCTTCCTGTTTATTCTTTGGATTTAAAATCCAGACATGCAGGGATGAGAAATGGGCGTATAGTGTGCATGTCAGTGCAGCAAGCCGGTAAATCTAAGGTTTCTGTTTCACCTTTAAAATTAGAAGATGCAAAAGAGCCCCCACTAAATACATACAAGCCCAAGGAACCTTACACCGCAACCATAGTTTCTGTTGAGAGGCTGGTGGGTCCAAAAGCTCCAGGTGAAACTTGCCATATCGTGATTGATCACGGTGGCAATGTTCCCTACTGGGAAGGGCAGAGCTATGGCGTAATTCCTCCTGTAAGTAAAGTTATTTACCAAGTCATACCGTTATTATTTTTTTCCATGTTTTTCTGTTTTCAAGAGTTTTGTGCTTTAATCCATAATCTCTACATTTTGTGCATGTATAATTATTGAAAAGCAATTGCTGTACTCAATTATGTTTTTTTTTTTGGTTCAGATGACTGATATACCATAGGAGCAAGATCCTTTCAGCCATCATGTTTAGTGATCATATGTTATTGAAGCCTCAGACGTAGCCTTTAGTTTTAGCATGAAGATACAACTGGTTAAAATGAGGCTAATTCTAATATACTGTTCGTGTTGGTTCTTATCTAATAATAATGACTCATGCTTACTGTACCTCTTACAAAAGTTTCCAGCTGGTTCACTGAGATGGCTTTTTCCATCACAGGGTGAAAATCCGAAGAAACCAGGAGCTCCTCAAAATGTTCGTCTGTATTCCATTGCATCAACCAGGTATGGAGATTCTTTTGATGGAAAAACAGCTAGTTTGTGTGTACGACGTGCTGTCTACTATGATCCTGACACTGGAAAGGAGGATCCTTCAAAAAATGGTGTATGCAGCAATTACCTTTGCAACTCTAAGGCTGGAGATAAAGTTCAGATCACAGGTAAGGTTGTGATGCATGGGTGAAATGTCTAGGGGAATTTGGTTGGGATGGATTGATCAGGCCTAATAGATTTCATTTCATGCATTCTTATCTTGCTTGGTTGTCATGGCCTTGTACCATGTTTGTCTTAAATTTATCCATACTAGTCATTCTTATTTAAAATTTTTTGACTAGCTAAAGTAGTCCAATTTTTGTGGTGTCTTGATAGGTATCTTTTTAATTGAAGATGTTACCAGAAAAACTGGCATCTTGCCTTATCCTATATCCTACTGACTCAGAGTTTACTTTGCCAGGCCCCTCTGGCAAGATTATGCTTTTGCCTGAAGAGGACCCAAATGCCACCCACATAATGATTGCAACTGGCACGGGTGTGGCTCCTTACAGAGGCTACCTTCGCCGCATGTTCATGGAAGATGTTCCCACATACAAGTTCCGTGGCCTTGCTTGGCTTTTCCTTGGGGTAGCCAACACAGACAGTCTCCTTTATGATGATGAGTTCACAAAATACCTCAAGGACCATCCGGATCATTTCCGATATGACCGGGCGCTTAGCAGAGAGCAGAAGAACAAGAGTGGAGGGAAGATGTATGTTCAGGACAAGATTGAGGAATACAGTGATGAAATCTTCAAGCTGTTGGATGGTGGAGCCCATATATATTTCTGTGGGCTCAAAGGAATGATGCCTGGAATACAAGCTACTCTCAAAAGAGTGGCAGAGCAGAGAGGGGAGACTTGGGATGAGAAGCTTTCGCAACTCAAAAAGAACAAACAATGGCATGTGGAGGTCTATTAACTTGGTATTTATATGCCCTGAAGAAGCAGATGCAGTAGTATTGCCTGTTAGGTAATCTGTCATTTGCCTTTGTTGATCAATCAGTTCACTTGAAAAACCAGATTAATTGTTCCCATGAATAATTGAGTGTTTATTATGATTTAGAAAACTTTTTGATTGAAGATTGATACGAATTTTCTTATTACTTGTATGTGTTGCTTATTTATTGTCTCCCAAAAGTCATCTGAGAAATTTCCCTCCTACCAGGGAAGCTCTTGTAGAAGCAAAAACCAGGCAGGCACTTAAGGCCATCTCTTCTGGCTACTGGTATTTTACTTTTTCTGTCAAGCTATAGGTTTTTTCGGTGGCGAGAAACAACTTATGTGCTGATTAGAGGGATACTAAAACTGGATTACTATGGCACAAGGATTTTAGGAGTGTTGCATGTGGAATATGTATAGAGACGAATTTCTTCCGGTGGTGTTAGAGCAGTAAATTAACCTTGAGATGGACTGGACTCCAATCATTAGCTATGTGGGTTTAGTAGTAGAGTTATCTGTGTTTTTAGTCATAAGTCTAGGATTTAATCTTCTAGTTTCAATGTATCAAAAAGATGGACTGGGCTCCAACCTGTGCTTCAATGGTGTATCAAGTTGTCACTTTTGTGCCCTGGAGCACGACTGGTGCTGTTTTGATGGATGACCCCAACAGACCACAGAGCTCCACTGCAATTATTAAGGGTGCCCGCATCAGAGCATGATGAAAATTAGGGATGGTGCCAACAACTTAAATAATTTAATGATTATTATTATTTTTTTGTTGAAAGTAAAAAGTAACAAGTTTAAGTCGCATAATTTATTTATAAGATGAGATAAAAAATGAGAAATAATGGTATCTCATTATGTAATTAAGATAAAAAATAAAATAAAATAAAAACACGGGAAGATGGAACAGTTTGGTTGGTCCCATTGCGAGATCCTTAATTGGCCTGCTTTGTAGGCCTGCTTTGTATGCGGTTTTAGGTCGGTCATCTGTTTGACCCTAAACCAGTGGTAGTGGTGTCATCCCATCAATTCGCCCCCACCAATTGATTGCTGCATTTATCAGTTAGATAAGAGGCAACGGGGAAGGTTATGGTTACCAGTTAAAATTTCAATACCACTAAAATTATAAAAATATTAATTTAATTTAATTAATAAAAATAATTAATATTATTATTTAATAAATTTAAATTAAAATTATTTAATAAATTAACATCTTAAATGTTGTTTAAAAAAGTTAAACTATTAGTGTTCTTAACATTTATGATGGCGACAATAATAATTAACAATCCTGACAAAAGGTCAGCGTTCCTTTATTACATTGCGGAGAAAAATGAGTAAAAGGAAACGCGCAGCTCATAGGTAATGCACCATTAAGAGGAATGTGTCATTCATCATGATCATGACCTGTGGAAGAAGGCTTACCGGACCAGTGACTTAGTAATTTAATGTAAATTTTTTTTATGATGATAAAAGTTTGATCCTTTTTTTCAAATTACTTGCCTTAAATAAAAAAAAAGAAAGAAAGAAAGATCATGACCTGTGATACAAGGGTATGTTTTGGTTAGCAGGTGTCTAATAAAACCTCTTGGTTTGTAGCACTCAAGAAGATCAGTGCAAGTGATTTTGATTTTCAGTACTTTTTCATTGCTTTCTTAGGAATTCTCAAAGAAATAAGATTGATATTATTATATAAAAATTGAATAGTTATTATGTAAGACTTTTTGTTTATAACTTAAGGTGGGGAATTCAAACATGTTCTTAAAGTTTGGGACGCACCTAACTATAAGTGTAGAATCGTTGAGTTATGAGATTTGAGTGTTATCATGTAAAATATTTTAATTGTAAATTGATCACAAAAAATAATAATAATAAAATATAATTTATACAAAACAAGCTGTATTTTAACATTTAAAAAAAAAAACCTTTATAATTGAACATTATTAGGTGCAAGTGGAATCTAATTGTATTGGATTTATATTTTACAAATCATTTGTAGTAGTGAATACTAACTTTTAAATTTTAATAATTTAAATGCAAAATGATGATGTTATATTTAATAATTTATCTTAATTACTTAATTTAAAAATTAATTACTAATAATTTATGCTCTATTATTTCACATCAATACTACAAAAAATTCACAAGATATATATATATTTTGATGGTTGGTTGCAAAATAAAAAATAATCATTTTCTTACCTAGTTCATATATCATACGATTCAAAATTTAAAATTTCTTAAAAAAATTTCTACTAAATCATTTAAATTATTGACTACACTACAAAATATTTTAATATTCAATACATCAATAGCAAAAAAAATTGTAAATATTACCCATCGTTGGGATTTGACAGTTTGGAGAGTGGAGGGAAAGGAGTAAACTGTACTCCAACGCATGACCTAGCTGCTAGCTGAATATCCCACTTGCATTCGTACACTAGTAGGCGATGCAATACATTATTGATTTAAATTCCTCCACTTTTTAATTTGTATTAAAATATTTTTTAATTTTAAAAAATATTAAAATTATTCTTTATTAATAAAAATATCATATAATATATTATTTTGTTACAAATCAATTTTTAACATATTAGTAATATGTAAAATTAAACTATTATATTCTATAATTGTGATGTATTTATATTTATATATTAAATTAATATACAATCAAAATTAAAAGATTAAATTAGTATTTTAATCAAAATTTAAAAACTAAATTGATACTATTTTAAAAGTTTGCAAACTATTTAAAAATCAATAATTAAAATTTAGAGATAATTTTAATACTTTTTAAAATTAAAAAATAAATTTAATATAAATTTAAAAATTAAAGTTTTTTTTTTTGAACGGGTACAAATGAGGAGGTGGGGGTTCGATCCCCAGCCTAACAGGGATGCACTTTGAAGAAGGCGGTGGGCTTCGATCCCTAACTTAAGGGCTGGGGGATGCATTTTCAAGAAAACTCAAAGTCATCAGCCACTAGGCCCAAGCGCAAAAAAATAATAAAGAATTAAATTGATATTTTACCCTATATTAATATAGAAGCTTCGCTTAACTTGAGCGGGAAGCATGCTTGGCGTAAAGAAGAAATATGATAATGTTGTAATTATAATATTAAATAAAATATATAAAACATTACAAATTTAATAGTAGACTTAAAAAAGAAAATTAATTACATAAAAATGACATTGTACTATAATAATTTTAAAAATGGCCAAACCTCCTATTTGCATCCTCCATTTAATTTTTTTTCATGATTAATACTTTCCAAAATTTTTTCTCTCTATTTACACCCTCTATTTTTCAAAACCCATGAAAAACTCAATATTTTAATAGGCCATCACGGCACTGTTAAAAAATGCACTGCGTGACACTTAGAAATTGACGTGACACTATGTAACGTTAGGAATCCAAGATGGATTCCTTTTTTTATGATGTGACTTATTTTTTGCACACGTGGATACCACGTGTGTATGAACCTAAAACCCAAAATAAATCTGCGGAAACCTCGTTGTCTTTGTCTTCTCAGTCTTAAATGCCAATCCAAAACCCAAAACTAAATCTTCCTCAACAAATCATTCAAAATGCACAAATTGAGCTCATTCAAAGACTTGAATTTGCCAAAAGATAAACCACAATAACTAAAAAGGTACCAACCACAAGGAAGAAAAGCGTGATTGTAAGATCTAGTAAAAATTATCCATATTTTTCACAAAATCACAATTTTGAATTGTAGCAAACAAATAAAATTACAAACAGAAGCTAAGAATAAGGGAAGCAGGACATGGACACAGAATCTGAAATTGTAGAAGGCATATAATAGAGGTAGATCCATCATGGTCGATCGTACCTTACCTCTTGCGAGGGAGGAAAAAGGCGAGAAGGAGAAGAAGCCTAGGGAGTGAGACGGAACCTAACAGTAGGGTTCCCTCGTGGAACCTAGAAATTGGATTGCCGTGAGGAACCTAGCAACAAGGTTCCCTCGTGGAACCTAGAAACTAGGTTCTCACGAGGAACCAAAAACTAGGTTCTCACGAGGAACCTAGCAACAGGGTTCCCGCGAGGAACCTAGCTCGTGGAACCCAAATGAAGATGGTGTTGAGGATGAGGAAGAGGACAAGGATAAGGATAAGAAGAAGATAGAAGAAATTAATTATGTTTTAATTCATTTAATTCCTTAGATTTTTTTTTAAAGCATTCATGTGTGCATAAAAAATTATGCTACATCATAAAAGAAAGTATCCACGTTGGATGGATTAATAATGCCACAATGACAAGTAGTTTATTTTTTAACTGTGTCATAATGATCCATTAAAATATTAAATATTTTACAAATTTTGAAAAGTATAAGGTATGAATAGATAGGAAAATTTTTAAAATGTACTGATCACAAAAAAAAATAAATAAATGAAGAGTGCAAATAGGGGTTTTGCCTTTTAAAAATATAACATGGACAGTGGAGGAATTGAAGCTTTGAAACGGCATCGTCGATTCTGATTGATTGCCATTTCTGATCTCTCTTTGTCGAAATATATAAAAGGAGCATTCACCTGTTATCGCCCATTTAATGGTCACAGCTCAAAGGGTTGCACATTTAATGGTCACTCCAGCTCAAAGGATTGCCGGTGGATTGCACTTTGATTGGTGGTCGAACTTTATCAAAAAAAATAAAGTATTAACTCTTAATTCTTAACTGTTATCCGTCTAAAAAATATATATATATATATATAAATAAAAGGAAAGAAAGAAAAAAAAAAAAAAACATAAAAAGAAGGGGGGAGAGAGATGGGCGCATGGTTTGACAATCACCTAATTTTAAACAAATTTACACCTTCCAACATTCTCTCTCATTTTCCGGTTGGTTCAGGAAACAGGACCCAAATCTCTATCTGGTTACCTTTGAATTTCCAATTTCATTAACTTCCAATCCAATCACTGGTAATTTCCCATCATTTCTTTCAGATCTTTTTTTTTTTTAAATCTTTGTTGATACTTATTTTTCCTTTGTAGGATTTCATGTTATTCTTTTGTTTATGCTGAATCCAATATGTCTTGTTGGATTACCGTTAATGGGTTTTGTTGTTTGTCTCTTAATTATGATTCTCCGTGGATGATCATCCAAAGTTTTGATTTTTATGGCATTTTCAACGGTCCATCCACAACTTTTGGGTGATAAGCATTCATGTTTAATCATTTCTACGACATTAATCTCTGTTTTATCCGTTTCTGTTTCATTTGATGACTGAAAAAACGTTGTTTTGAGATTTCTACCATTTGGGGTGCAGCCTATGTAATCATTCTGTACATTAGTTTTGGGATTCCGAAGGGACAACAGATGAATGATTTTTTTTTTTCCCCAGTATTTTCTCTTTTAGTAATTAATTTGAGCTGCTGATAAATAATAATAATAATAATTTTAGCTAGTTTCAATGCAGTTTTACTCAAAGTTGGATAACCTGTAAATGTTTTTAATCCTCCATATGAAATTTAAGGCTTCAAGGAGATTGTTGTTTATTTATTTTTCCTGATGAGTTTTAGGAGATTGTTGTTTGATTTGGAGTTTCCTATTTCTTTCTTTTATCCTTCTTTTTTTATTTTTAATTTTTACCGTGCTTCTAATTGTGGTTACAAAGTAGGCAATTTGCTTCAACTGAATTGATAAACGTCTTGTTCTATAGTAGGAACTATAATTTAATCTACTTTCTATATCGCCCGTCAAAAAAAAAAAAATCTGCTCTATTATTTCCTTTATACAGAACTGTTTGATCACATATTTATAGAAAGAAAAAAAATTGAGTCCTGGA